TTAATAATAATGTGTAGGGCAATGATCTCTGTAGTTTTGAATATTTTCAAATCCTAAAATTAGCTTGATATTACCAAAAAAAAAAAAATAAAAATATCATTCAAGATGAGAAAATTCAATTGCAACAAACTAAACAAAATATAGTCGATTTCCGCACGAGTGTGACCTTGGGACTCACAAAATGTGGTTTCTTTTCGTTTTTTGACTCTCAAAACATTGAAAAGTTTTTTTTTATATCTTAAATGCGAATGTGATGACAAAAAGTAAAGAAAATAGCTTTTCATTATCATTTTAGTGAAAAATCTTCTTTTTATTTCGTCACAAAGTCTGTAGATACTTTGTTGCTGTTGTGATCCCGCTCACAAAAAAAGAGGGAGATATAAATGATCGGATGTTGTTGATCTTACAACAAATTAGTATAAATAGAAATCTAATAACAATGCTTAAGGATTATAGAAAATTCACCACAGTGAGCATGTGTATAGAGGCAATGAAAAATGAGAGAAATGTTATACCGATTGTCAATGAAACTATAAAATTAATTTTATCACTTGGTTTTTAGAGTCAAACAAGCCGTTCTGATTTATTATCTATTAGCTTACTTTCTTCTTTTCATGAACAACTTTGATGATGAATTTCTAATTCAAGCTGCTCGTGTTTGCTCAATTCATCTGTTTTACACTTTTAATGATTAACATGCGTCGTAAAGTTTTAAAATATATGACATTAAAAAATAAAGTGTAATATCCATAACATCCGTCAACGTGTGAAGGTAAAGAAAGATTAAAAGACTTTTTCCTGTTCAATGCTTCCAAAATAAGAAAAATTTAATAGGAAAAATGAGAGCAATATTATTAATGGCGAACATGTTTATTTTGAGTTTTATGGAGGAAGGTTGAATGAATTTGTAGTTTTTAAAAAACTCGTTAAGTTCTTTTATAAATGATGTCCAAAACAAATTTAATTTTCAAGCAGGTTTTATTAGAAAATTTTAAATATTGGCACAAAGCTCCAGACAACTGGAACCCTCTTCAGCTAGACATCATTTATGAATGATTTTTGAAGTATTATTTTTGCTTCTAAATTTGATTTTTAAAATCATCAACTGTACAATTTTATATGAAAATTACATAAGTATGAAAGCAATCCTAAACAAACAGTTAATCCCGGAAACAACAAAATCAGAATGAATTCATAACAGAAATAAAATTTACAGTATAAAAATCATTTAATATCTTCCAAGTAAAACATGAAAAACAATTAACACGACATGTTTTACATCATGTCATGCAATGGTTTTTTTTTCTTCTAAAGCTCTCTTAAAATTAATAAATCTTGAGTCAGAATTGCAATTGCAATCATTTGATAATTTACGTGAGCACCGTTACATGCAGGAATTGAACTTGTTTTTTTTTATAAAATTTATTTTTGGTTGAAAAATCAGGATTTTGCTTACTATCGATCATGATTTAGCTGGATTTAGCATAGGTTGTGTACAAATGATATTCAACTTTTGGATCTATAGGTTTTGTTTGTAAGTTACGTGATATTTGGCAATTCCTCATTGTGTCACAGTACAAAATAAAGACAGACTTCATTTATAAATGGTTTCTTAGAAATCTACAAATAAAGGTTTACGAATACTTTTTGTATTGTATTTTTGAAAATTCAAAATGCGCCTTGGGAAGACTTACAAACTTGCTATTTTAAAACCATTCAAAATGCAAGCAATCCCAGAAAAGTGCTGAGACATGCGCTTTATTTGGTTCAATGTTAAAGGCATAAACTCGAAATGAATGTTTATTATTGTAAAGTGCGTGAAGTACGAAAATTGTCAATATTTTATGTACTTTTTATTTAACGTGCTTCACAACACAACATGATTTTTTCTCCTTTTCGGTTTAATGCTCTTTTTCCAAGACTCTTGTTGATCATGTAGTCAAAAATTCCCGTTTTACTTAAAGAAAAAATTCGATGCCTTTTTTTATTAAGCAAAAAAATAACAAAAATTATATCCAGTTCAAGTTAACATATAATATTTTTGTATCTGACGTAATCGGATTTTTTTAAAAGCAGAATAGAATCTCATATATCTGCGAATTTGTTCACAACGGGAATCGCATTTACGTGAAATAAGTTTGACGGTGAGAATTTAGAAATTAGCATAAAATGAACGATTAATCGCCACATATGGTGGGCGCTACAAGGTCTCTTCATTAGATCACAGTAATTGAATAATTGGCAATAAATAAAACCAAGCATGTTCTCTGACTGATGACGCCACATGTGAGTGAGTGATTAGTCATCAATTATAAAAATAATTTTCACTGGAGAGTCGATTGCTTTGCGTGAATGTAATTTATATTTAATATGAATCAACAATCTTCCCACTCAAGTTTATTTGCTTAGTTCATCAATATTTTGCACTATATCATGTCATACTTTATTGACAAAATCAGTAAAGAACGAAAATTGAAAATATTTTATAATTTTACAGATTTTATTTTCCTTTTGTAATAATAAGCATGGGTAAACACAGAGCCAAAAAATTCCTCCTTCACTTCTTTTTAGTGCTTTCCTTTAAACAGACAAAATGTGAAGTCAGTAATTTGGCAGAATCTTAATTTATGTTCCGCTTATTTCATTATTTAAAAAAGAGAAAAAATAATCGAAATATTTATTGAACTTTCTGGTCTTGTATAATAAAAAGCAGAAGTTAAATATAAAAATTATCGCAACAAATTTGGCAGTTCTGTGGTCATCAGTTGATTTTTCATGAAATTATTGTGCATGATAAGATTTTAAAATATGATTCAGAGGAAATTGTCAAGTATTGAGTTGTTTTTGATAATTTTTGGAGTCAACTGTGAATCATATTTAGTACGTATTTGACTTTTTTATCAATTGCTGCTTTTATTCAATAATTGTTTTAAAAATATTCTTTTTTGGATGATTTCTTTTGATAATGGATGGCAGGACTTTGCGTGAAATTTTATCTTTTCACAATTACAACTCAGACACAAGTCAACACGAAATCTATTAAATCTGGGAAGTCGATTCAATGCCAGACTATTACCTTTTATCATTTAGGATATAAACTAGGTTTAAACAGTTTCTTTTAAAAAATTTTGATGAAGGAGCTGTAATTAAGGATAAATACTTTTACTCTGTATGATCTTTCGTGAAATATTAATGTCGTTCTTCTTCATGGAACAGACATTAAATGTGATTGAAATAGAAATTGAGAAAGATATGTGGGAATGGAAAAAATTTAAATTTTTGATGAAAGAAAAATTTTGTGCAAAAAAAACGCTAGAAAATTTCAACAAAATTGAAAAATTTCTTCAACAAAAAAATCTAAGTTCATTGACATGATTTCAGTCAAAATGATGAATCAGATTAATTTTGCAAAAATAGAGAGAAAAACAAAGCAAATATTTATTTTTGAATTTTCTTTTGCATGAATAAATCACAAGTGGTCATACAAAGCACATCTCTCGAGGTTAAAATAAAGCGCAAAAAATGTACATATGGATCATACAACGATTCTTCCTTGTTCTTTTTATTATGTCTTGCTCATTTTAAACTACGTGCAATGAACTTAATACTTTTTAGTTTACAATAAATTTCGAGGTTTACTTATTTTTTCTATTATTTTTAATGATAATGATTATTGTTTATGATCGCAAGCACGTCTGTCTGGAATCATTTTATATTTTAAATAATAATCTTTTTAACCATATGATGCTATGCTTCCCGTAAAAATTCATCAATAAAGTAAAACTATTAATGAGTGATTATCATTATGAGTACATAAATCTTGAATGGAACAAAACTACTCATTAAAACCATTCATTGAAAAATTACGGTTCTGAGATTAAAAATGATAATTTTTGCAAAAAAATCACGATAATTTTGAACAATTCACTTTAAATCTGGAGTAATCTGTTTAGACTGCTTAAAAATTCTGGTATTTCTATATGTAGTTGTTCATAAATTTGAATAAGAGGAAGTAGTGATAGGCTTTTGCTCAAACCAAGCTCAAATGTGTTGGTTTCATTTTTTAATAAATAGATTTTTCATGTTTTCGATGCCTTATTCTATAGTTTTCCAAAAAAACAAAAATTCGAAACATGTTCAGCTCGAAGAAGTTTCTGGTCGACATTATCTTCATCATTTTAAATGTAGGCTCACATTTTTTATAAAGCAAATAAGATAAAAAGTTCAGCGTCAATTTAAATGCACACATGAATATAAATGAGGAGGTGAATATGGAAAGTTCATAAGAAAGAGGACTTAATATTTCTTAAGAAATGTAATCAAAAATAACTTTTTTTCCTTTTATCTCGTTTTGAAAAGACTTTAATTACGTAATTCTCGCTCTTTCTCACTCTTTTTCATTTAATTGAAATTTTTGGGTTTTTTTTGTGTGTAAATGCAAAATCTCGTTCACAGTTATCAATTTTAACTGTCTTCGCATTATATTTAATTTCGTATGGATTGTGATATAACCGTAAGAATAATCATTGAGGCAAATGCATTCCCATTTCCAATTTGTGATTAAAATTTATGTGCTGCTATAATCCGTCCAATCGTAATTATGCAATTTATGCTCTTACCGTTAATTAAATGCTCAAAAAAAAAATATAGTCTCTCATCGTATATACAAAAAAAGCCTGCATATACGAGAATGGATGAATAAAAAGCGCAATTTTGCATGCATTTACCATAAAAATTTACTTTTATGGATCATGTTACAGCCGCAATTTGTGAAGCTATTGCAAAAGAGAACCTTGAAATTGTAAAAAAAATTATATGCACATATGAGAAAATTTTATGAATTAAAGAGAATATGACTAATGAAGTCACAATTTCTCGACTTTGATGGCCGTGCTAATAACTTCCCCGTTTTAAGATGCATGCGGCTCCTTTTCCACGATACTAAAATAATCTTTTTTGCGTGAAAAAGACTGATTTATTCTTAATGGCAATAAACTTACTCGTTAACGATGATGCTCGTATTGAATCCACGATCTTCCCGTACCATATAAGCTGGTAATTGCTTAATCATTTCGTTTGCTTGATTATTCTTTGAAACAAGCATTTCCCTATATTTCGCATAAACAGCTCGCCTCATTCTAGGGTCCATTTGAGATGGATGAGGTGGCTTTTGAAGTGTCGTTGCCATATCACGTCTATTTTAATCTTTAATTTATTTTTTTTATTCCTTTGTTGTTTATGAGTCAATGGGAATTAATGACTTTTTTTCTTTGTAAATTTATCGATTTTCGAACGTAATAAATCACGAATGAGAGATAAAGCACGATCGAATGTCGTAATCACCCTTTATGTCTATATTTAAAGTACACAAAATAACGAGTAACACCACAACTATTTTAGAGGTGTTAAATTTTTACTGGATGGAATCAAATTTATTAGACTTTTACTCATATTTGGAATCAGAACTTGTCAAACTTTACGAGTTTTAATTCTAGTGTGCTCGAAAAATTCATTCACAATTTCTTGATATGTTTTTGCGCAGCAATAAAAATTCATTTGACAAGTAGTTATTAATTCACTTTATGTCCATTTAACAACTTTATTGGCACATTATAGACGTATGAAGTTGGCACAGGTATGAGTCACACAATTTATTGTATTTTGTGGTTTTTCTAAAAACGATTTGGAAATAGATTTAACTCAGCACTAATTGAATGATCAATTTTTTTTAAAAATCATAAAATAAATTATGATTAAAAATAGGAAGTCACAGATTTCAATCGCGATTACTTTATTTGTAATATTTAATAAAACTATTCTGTATCTGTTTTAAGCGTCTGACTCCGATGCCGGCTTGCGAATAACTAAAGTTTATACACTCTACAGTCAAGTCGCGCAAAAATAAAGGAGAAAAAATGAAGAATAATTAAAAAGAGAACTCCAACAACAAATAAGAAAAAAAAAAAAATACTGTAAGGCAGCAGCATTAAGCGAAAATGAAAATAAACATTTATTCACACACATATTTAGGTAATTCCGTATACATAAAGAATACAAATCACATTCGAGTGTCAAGCAGGCAGTCAGCCGTTTCGATTAGTGAACTATCACTTTCGATTTTCTTTTATTTCTCTCGCAGCAGCAGCAAGTAAATTTTTGTAGTAACTGAGCATATTAATACATTATTTATGCTATTTTGACGAATTTTCTTTCTCATTCAGACATTTTGCTTGCCTCAAATTATTGCGGAAAAAAACGAATAAAATTTTTTTGACGAGTTGAAAAAATAGAACAAAAAATTAATTTCCTCTCTTTTGTGATCGTTTCTTTTTTTAACTGTTGGAGCGTTGTACGTAGGTGTATTAACAGAATAAAGCTTTGCATCAATATGGACATATGGTCATGAAATTTATTCTTTATAAAAATAGACATATACACACTTTTCCGCATTTTATTAGCTTTATTATATTTTTAATGTGATACAGATGAGTTTTTGGTGCTCATTTTGTCCTCATTTGGTTGCCTAGCTACACAATCAATAGTTTATTTTCTTTGCAAATCTGCAGATTGTAATAAAAAGCAAATGTATATTATTTTGAGTTTTACAGAAATAGATGGCTGACCTGTCTGATGGTGCTGATGGTGCTGATCGATGGTGAAAATGGGAAATTTGTACTCGAATGCACAATTGTTCTAAAAATGGATCTTGAAATCATTAAGTGTTCATTGAGAAGTTCAATCATTCTTCTCAAATATTCTAGCTATACTTCTGATTTATTAATGCTGTCATATAATTTTTCTAATACACTTAGCTTTCCTTTTTTGCTATAGTCTTACAATTAAATTGATTGCTTTACTTAAGTAAGCGAAACCAAATCTTATCAAAATCCCAATTAAATTTAATAGAATTTATTTTAACCATAAACAGTATAAACTGAGTTTTAAAAATTCAAAGTGATAAATTGATGGTCATTAAGGAGACTTTCATAAACAGAAGTAATGCTAACGAATCAAAACAAAGTGTTTTGAAAACAAATCCATTTGCTTTAATTGAATTTTACATTCAACTTTAATTTTTCTTTAATTTGAAATGCATTTATTTTATTGCTGTCGATTTATGGATAAAACTCATTATTTTTATTATGTAAGAAATTTTAAGAAAATTTATTCAATGATTTGCAATCATTAAGCCTCTACTTAATGAAGTGGCTGAAAGGTATTAATAAGTCTGTAGGATGAGAAATTGAGCTGGTGCACGTGTTCGTTGAAGAGATATAATTGTGATTTCTGGAACAACTCTCTCCTTCAACATATTCACAGACTTCTGTTGATCCTAGACATTAAGTAAAAAAGATCAGTTTGATCTATGTCATGAAAAAAGAGCATAAAAAATAATCATTTTTAACAAAAAGCGTTGTGACTGAAAATGCTAGTCATTATGAGCAACTAAGCATTGCGATATTCAAAATATTATTTTTAATTCCATAATGATTAAAATTTCTCTATTTCGCATGTCTATTCGATTTATCATCTCTTATCTCTTTCATCAAAATATTTGCAGGTGTGTGCATAATTTTACTTCTTCTTCATGCTTCATTCACATTTCACCGAGTCACTTGAGACGTTATAAATGTCAAAGATTGCGGAAAGCATGAATTAAGAAATGGAAAGATAAAATAATAAAAAACGCACTGTCTGTAATTACTTTCTCTCAATCACCATATAAATTTATTACAAAATGCCATTCATTTTTCATTTTGTCATGAAAGTTGAAGATTTTGTTTTGTCTGTGCTGCAAGCACTTCGTGCTTATGCGGTATAAGATATGAAAAATTATAAAATGCACATTAAGAGCGATTTTAATTTGCAGAAATGAAGAAAGGAAATAAAGAAATGTTTGTTGCCATTTTTTACTCTTTTGTACTTCCACAAATAAAATTATAAGGAAGTTTGTTTGTACTCCACTTTCTTATTTGTACCAAGTGGTTTTATATTTAACCCCCAAAATATTGAGTACTGTTCTAATTTATTTTATTAATTGTGCTTACTTTTTTTTATCACACAACTTCATATAAATCGCTTATCTTGTCTAAAGTCTATAGGAAATGATTTCGAATTGCAATTTTCCCTTTCACTGCTTGTTTTATTGACAATTTTTTATGGTCATTCATGTAAAATAAGTTTTATTTTCTTAAATGAGGAAAATGATGGATTGATGCAACAGCTATGCAATGACACAACAAATTATGGAATGGATTTGTATTAATTATAATCAAACTGCACAGAAGTTGCATTACAACTTATCTTGATATATTTTTTTCGCATGCTGATTTAATTAATATGAATTAATCATGCTATATACAGTCTGTTGTCTGACATCATACGACCATGATTTTTTTTACTTTCCTCTTCCTTAATGTGATCACCATTTTATAATCTAATCATCACCGATGAACTTGAAAATTTATTTTCTTTTCTTTGATATTTTCTTCTTCGTACGGTGTGCCGAAAAGAGTATCCTAAAAATATCTCGCAACAATAATATTGTCCTCACTATAATTTTACTTTCGTTGACAGCGCTGTGATATGTTTTGACAGCATCAGCCTTATACAAACAATTAAGTCATCAATTGAAATCGTAAAAATGAAATTATGAAAGGTCTTGAGATGATGAAAGGGTGTTAAGCGAGGCAGTTAATCAAATAAATCATTCACTGTTATGTGATGACATTGGAGACTTAGGCGCGAGTCACGAAAATAGATTGTGAAATCCCTCACATGTGTTTAAAACATAATTGTCTTTGATTTTTACTATCTTTTTATTTTACGTCAACTTTTTTCGTTTTTAGAATGACTTTGTCTCAAAAAAAAGGATGTGACTTTTTTGTCTATAATTTTGTGAATTAAATATGCCTGGCTAAAATTATTGTTTACATTACGACAGATGACTGGGCTTAGGTTATGCTCGAGAAAAGGCAAAGCTTTAATGATTTATATACGCAACTTAGTTCCATACGTAGATAGGAAGTATAAATATCAAAATTTTCCACTTTTAATTTTCGTCATTGACGAGACGAAGATAGATATAAAGTCTAAAGTAATGGACATTATGGTTGGCAAAAGTGAAATTATTGCTGTCCATAAAAATTCGTTTATGGCAGATTTCCCTTAGTTTTCTTTTTTTTATTTCATCACATTTTTATTTGTGTAAAAATAAAGCTAAACGCTTGGCAAATAAATTTTGTTAAATTCTGAATGACGAAAGCACGGCGATATGTTTTATTTTAGATTGTTTCTCAGACAAGATAAAGATCATTTGACATAAATTTTGAATAGTTCAATTTCTTTCGCATTTTATAAATTACTGTATTAATTTTAGTTAAAAATCATGAGAGACATTGCGTCACAGTTTACTACTTCTCAGATTATCTGCGAATTTCCCAACCTCATTAAGTCATTTCTTATTTCTCTCTCTTCTGATCTTGCAATACAAACGATATCGTAACGATCATTGTAACGCGTGTATGCTTGTGTGAATATTGAAGAGCAACGGCAATGTTTAAGCAATTGTGTGCGAAATTGGATCGTTGCCAATAAAAAAGTTTTCAATGATGAAGAAAAAAAAAATGAAAAAGAAACAAAATCTTTTTTGTTTTATAGATGTGGAACTGCCATCCGAATTTTCCGATTGTTTTTAACATAAATTTTAAAAAACGCTTGTGAGTGCGACGAGGATGAGTGAGATGGAGATAAGGAAAGAAAATTTTCGCAAGGCAAAAAACTGTATTTACGAGCATTTTTTTGTGTGTGAAAAATTATGTAAAAATAACAATCTACTGCTTCCTTATTATTTTCACAATGCACTGCAATTGTTGAATATTTTTTAAGGGGGTTTGTTTTTATGATATCACTCTCAAGGCATATCAATTTTTCATGGAAATTAAAAGCTAAAGGAAGAAGAAAGCAACAGTTTGTTTTTTTATTCATTGGAAAATTTTATGGTGTTTTCACTTGAGTAATTTGTGTCTATTACTCAACTTAAATATTTTACCGGTTTGTGGGTTGAGTTTGTGTAAATATCCAGAAATATCGGTCAAGTGGGCATCTGCAGCCTGATTATTTTGGGACTTTATGCTTTTAGAATCCGGATCAGTTTGAGGTGTTTGTTAATATTTTATTGAGTTCCTGTTGTGTGTGTAATTAATTTTTGTAATGACTGAAAATTAGCTTTTTGAGGAATAATTACTTATATACAGCATGAATTAGGAAGACTACCTTGTAGGAATTAATTTAATTCTTTGATTCTCAATAACAAGATTTTCTTTAGTTTTCCTTCATAATTAGTAGTGCTTTTATTGCCATGCTTATAAAAATAAACTAAAGGACATCCCAAGTGTTGTGTCATTTAATGTGAAATCTTTTTTGAAGCTTGTAGATCTAAAACTTACAAAATCAAACGCACAATCAATTCTATTTTGACTAGTTTGCTTATCCTAATGGATTTAAGAAGTTCCCACGCAGCAATAAAATATAAATTCATCGTTTTCCGTGACCATCACTATCGTGTGGGATTTTTTTTTCAGAAAAAGAAACTTCCAATTTTCTCGATGATGTCATCGTTTGCATAGTGATGATGGGAAATTTTGTCCTATTTATATATTTTGATGAAAAATGATTTGAAAAATCATAAAATATTAAAAAGTTTAAGCACCCGTGTAAAGTATGAGTGAATTTAAAAATTCAGTATTTGATCATTATTATTTAGTTCCGCTTTTAAAAATTGAACCTTTAAGTTTTGATTACGGATATAATTTCAATCAAAATTATATTTTGTCTTGTTTCATATACTGATGATATACATACGTAGAGATTTGGTTGCCATAATGGATCATTGCACCGCATTTACAATAATTTTCGAGCAACAAAATTTCTCATTGAGCTTCATGAAAATTAAATTGCATCATTTTTCTTAGTAACTTAATGAACTAATTGATTGTATTATGCACAATCTTAGTCATGCAAAATATTCATATGTATGCCTCACTTTGCACAATTAAATTTCGAATTTACAGACAGTAATGTAGAAAATTTCAACAATTTCACTAAAACATTTTGAACAAATCTCTTAAATTAAAATTAAGAAAACTTCAAACTCACATAAATTTTGCCTCATAAATGAGGAACTTAGTCTTTTTGTTGATCCTCAAATTTATTTGAACATGTTTAATACTGCTCATCAAGGTTGCAAGTTCAGTTTTCGAGTTAATATTAATAGATTTGAATATGGGACGTCGTTTAAAAAAACAACACATCAAGACAGATATGAAGACATACTGTGAAGATACCCGAAATAAAAGAAGGAAGAACATCACCTATCACAACAAATAAATTCACGAAATTGAATTGCATTTAAACAGAAGATCGTAGGTGTTATTTTATGATTCTGTTTGCAGACAGAATAGCAATAGTGTATCACAAGGAAGTTTTTATACTTATTTATTGCCCATGTGAATTTTTGGACAATTTCTTCTTTCTTATAACATGCGCATCATTTTTTCTCATCTACTTTTATAATTTCTGACATACTCATTAATTCTCGACGAGAGAAATTTTATCTTATTTTAATATTAGTTGTCTCGCCCTCTCACATGATATGAGAAAAGACAGCATATAAAATGCGTAGGTATTAAGACTAGATTGATACAAATAAAAATCTCGTGTTGTGAATTATCATCGTCCGCATGTTGATACTTTATTGCGCTCATCTAATTTCTTTAAATTTAAGGTTATTCTATCAAAATACATCATCAAGGTGCATACTAAAGATAGATTGATGTGATTCATAGTATGAGAGATGCAATCAAATGAGAATCGAAAATGCATCGAAAAGTAAACACGAGAGGGAAAAGACCTTGGCATTAAAGACAAACATCGCATGTCGAAAATTATTTTTTCTTCATTCCTACTTAAAAATTTTCCTCTCATTTGAAATGCAGGAAAAGTTGCTTTCGCATAAAATATAAAGCGTGCACAGAATTTAGACTTACTATAGGAAAGGAATTGCGACAGGAATGAACACCAAATTTGGTCAAAATGTTATTGAATTAGAAATTTAATTGGCATTATAACATTTTATTCAACTACGGACAGAAATCATGCAACCGAGGCCAAATTCAAGATTTGAACCTTACAGTAAGGGGTCGTTCACTTATGACGTCCATCAAAAAACCTGATTTTTAGACCCCCTCCCCCCCTTGTCACAAAAATTCTATAGAAAAAAATTTCCATTGTTTGAGCTGTCACAAAATCCTAGACCCCCTTCCCCCTCTCTAAATGTCGAACGTCATAAGTGAACGGCCCCTAATAGTTTCCCAACTTTGTGGTTTCTGAACCTTAAGACTTTTTCTAGCTGCTCGCTTCTTGTTTTGTTATATTATTGTAATTATCAGCGGATATCGATAAATATTGGATAGGATTTACTTTGAAAAAGCAACGCAATTTGAACATCGATTTTCACAAATAACTCTCTATTCATAAATTTTTCAAGTATCATTTCCTGCAACGTAAGTTACTGTTTGAGTGTTTTAAAGTTTCTTTTAGGAAGATAGGACTTTCGTCACGAATATCGTTATCAGTACTTATTAGTAATATTTCGCTTTAAACTGGTCCAAGATGCGTTGATCCGGATATATTAAGCAAAAATAATATATATGCCAAATGAATGGACTAGTCGTGCACGTAGGAATTTTTTCCCTACTGAACAATTTTCTATTTTAAGCAAACGTCTGCTGAATGAAAGGAGAAGAAAAATGTTTATTTCGCATGAAATTTTCCCCCATTCATTCAATCGTTCATGTTGGAAAGTAGATTTTCACATAAATTATCAGAAAACAATTATCATGGATATTAAAAAAGCTCTTGAAATTGTGAAATTTTTAAATGATCACTTCTATATCAATTTACCTTGATGGATTCATTTTTGCTCTCACTTTTTCCGACTTTTCTTTCTTCTTCTTGTTTTCCTTTGCCTTTTAAAAATAGAAACTTTTTCTTTTTCTTACAAAATAAAAAAAAATTTCACTCAACTCAGCAAGAAAATTTTTCAGGCTATTTTTCTACACAAATTTTCTCTAATAAAAAATTTCTTTTATATAATTTTCGTTCTATTTAACGAATTATTAAGTTAATTAATTCGTTTAATATTTAAAACTTATTTTTTATATTCACTATTTTTATATTTTAATAACTTTTGAAAATTTGAGAGATTTTCTTCTCTCAGCTACAAAATTTAATTCTCCTTAAAAAAAATTCACTTTAATTAATTAATTCTTTTTCAGATCGCTGATATTTCGCGTTCAACAGTCACTCCAACACTAAATTTCCCGAATAGAAAATCTTTTTCACATAAAAATAATTTTCATGAAAAATCTCAAATTTTCATTTAAAGCTTTAGTTGTATTTGCAAAAATAAAGAAGATCGGCAGTAAAAAGAAAAAGAAGAGAACCGAATGGATGTGTGTAAAAATAAAACATTATCATCCTTTACGTCGATCATTACTTCTTACTTTTTACTTTTGCTTTCTTTTCAACATGTGGATACTGATAAAAGTATTGATAAGTATTCGTTTTAAATTTGTATGCTCACGAGAAGCCTGACTTCTCTTGTTTTTTTTTTCCTGAAGTCAAATCAACAAGTTGTCTTTGTCAAGGTGTGCAATGTCTCACTTGCGTTTATTACAGATGCTACGTGAATAATTATTTTTTTTTCTCCTTGTTTTTGTGCTCACTTCCTTTGACATCGTATCGTAAATGATTCTCATTCATTTAATCTCATTTAAATGTTTAAATTGGGATTCTATAAAATAAACTTTGCAAATTAGAAAAATTAATTGTTTAATAGAAAAAGCAGATTTTCATAGGTCGTGCTAGTCTCATTTACATAGCTATCATCAATAAGTTTTTTTCATAGACGTATAGGCGACAATGTTGAAGATTGCAAAGTAACTTGAAGTTTAAATCTTTTTCTTCTTTAGGAACCAGTTTCTGGTCAAGAGTGCGGAACCTTTAAATTACATATTCATCATTTTTGATCATTTCATCAGTACCACACCCCTGTTTCTGGTGCTACCTATGGTTTATGTCTTAGTCACAAATAGTTTAATTTAACATCAACCTTTAATTCTCAAGTAGGTTGCCCCAGGAAGCTTCAAAAACCGACCACTAATTTATGGTTTTCACACGAATTGTGACTAGGTACATTACAGGGTACATCAGGTCTTATGACGTACTCGTGTCTTTGCAATGTGCAGAGCTTGCAAGTGGTTCGGATCCCACTATAAACTGTAGGTCTAAAGGGTGTGGTACAATAGATTCTGTTCTAATTTGAATCGCAGTGCCTCCAGTTGAAAGGCTGGGCCCTTCACACATTATTAATTAAGTGTTAATTCTAATTAAAACACATGGCTATATAAACTTTCGTTAACAATGATACAATACAGCACGTTGAAGTGATAAATATCTATGAGAAATAAGAAGGAAAAAATATTCATTAACATAAACAAAAAACACATAAAAATAGAATATGGAAATTAGATTCATTCTCACATGTTATGCACAATGGTATTTTGTGTAGGGTATCATATCGACAATGTTTTACACACATTTTGTGCCATGAAGCGTGTCACATTCTGACATCTGGTGTCGAGTAGAAGAAATTTAAGTAAAAGTGGCGTCACTAATACAAATAAATTCTTTGATTGTATATGTTAAGTTCAAATTTGATCTTAATTTCATGTTGATGATGGGATGGATTGTGAATTATGTTACATTATTTTGGTATTGATAATTTTTAAAAATATTCTAAATGATGTTTTTTGAAGCTGTTAAATAAATAAAATCAAGACCCTTTAAAATAAAACTATTTTTTTTAAAAAATAAATATGATTGAATTTACACAAGTGTGACGCCATTTTTGCACAAAACTACAAACAACAACAAAGAGTTACGGTTCTCATAAGAAAAAATACCTATTTAGTGATTTTTCTAAAACACAAAATTAATTTTAAGTAGTTTAAAGTCATGTTTAAAGGCCGTGGTGAAGGAAATGTGGTTTATAAGTGCAGTATACGCCTTTTTGGCGATTCAGAAATCCTCGAATTGGAATTTCAAGTAATATATTTGAGAAACTTTATAAAAAGGATATTTTTTTTCGCCTTGATTTTATGTCTCACATCTAATATTGAAGAAATGGGAAAAATATATAAAATTTATGTGAACAAGAAAAGTTTAGGCTTTTTGAAGTCATTAAAAATTCTACCTAATATTCTGATGTATTCAGAATTTAATGTGAAATTCGATCCAAAAAAAAAATTGGAAATGGATTTTAGAATAAATTTCCGCTCAGACCCATTTTTTTGTTATAATTTACCATTTCATTCATTCATTCATTCAACAATTTTTCTTTCTAAAAACTATGTGAATGGCGTGTGAGTGACCGTTTAATGAGTTTTACGCATTTTTCGATATGACACGAATTAACCACCACATCATGTTCTTATTCTATTAAGAAATGTAAAAATTGCATAGTTTAATTTATACTTCCTTGCTTTAATTTTATATCATACAGCCGCACCATAAAGGATTATTCTTATTAGATTTAATATGTGAACAATTGGATATTCAAGAGAAGGATTATTTTGGGCTGAGGTTTGTCGATCTTCTCAAACAGCGGGTAAGATTTTATTTATTGTTTCAATCTATCTTAATTTAAATAACTGTGAGAGATTAATGAGAATTAAGGACTTCATTTTATGTGCTTTAAAACTTTATGAAACAAAACCTTTTTTGTTTTAAAAAGAGACAAATGAGATCATGTGGATGGATCTTACTTTACACTAATTTGCAAAGTATTTTAAAGGTGTTACCCGAAACTTAAAGATTTAATACTCAAAAATGATTTAAAAGATTCCATTTGAAAAGCTATTTAAATCTAAACATTTTGTTCAAACGTAATCAGTCTGAATAGAGGACATCCTGTAAAATAAGAATAAACAAGTTCCTCGACACAATATTAATTTCCTTAACTAGCTTGACAAACTTTTACTTTGATCTAATGTACATTCTAGCTGTGAACAGTCGTTCGCATAGGAAATTGTATAATTGTGCTTATTACCCAAAAAAAGTTACTATTGTTCTAGTGAATTCAAGTGTTAATTCCAACGAATGAGGTTATAAATTGTTATTGGCTCTTGCTCATTAATGAAATATGGATGCCCCCAGAAATAAAATTTGAGTACCTATTTTCATATTGTTTAATTATACTAATGAGTATTTTTTATAGACTTATTAATTTGGAATATAATATATCCATCTAGAGATTCTTATTATGAAAATTCGCAACCAATTAATTGAATTAAGTAAAAATATTATGCAGATAACGTTGACCTATAAGGAGTCAATTGCCAATTAATTTGTTTATGATAAAAAACTTTACGGTAGCTAATAAAAAATCCGGTTCACAGATTTAATGTTAAAACTTCATCGGGTTAAATTATTCAAATAAAAACAATTTAAAGGAAATCTTGTCTGAATTAAATGCCTTTCTCATAGATTTCAAACAGATATTTTGTATCAATGAGCAAACACAGCTTTTTCTCCTAAGATGTCAAAATGAAAAAAAAAAAACTAGTGTATCGGGTAGAAACCCAATGCGGATTATATTCACACCGTACTATCAAAAGTCTTATGGATAGACCAAGATTTGCTCATCATAAGTATGAAGGTATGAAGCTTAATAAGTCAACTGAGCTTCGCTCATCATAAGTTTGAAGTTATAAAGCTATCGCGTCAGCTGAGCTTCGCTCAGCATAAGTTTGAAGATATAAAGCTAGAGAGTCAGCTGAGCTACGCTCAGCATAAGTTTGAAGATATAAAGCTTAACGAATATGCCAAACATTCTTTAAAAGTTTTTTAAAAAAATTTTCATCCAAAGTTGAATTATATAAAAATCACAGTCAACTTTTGTTTTAAAAAATTCGAAAGAAAGGAAAGTTTTTTGCTATTTCTGAAGCAACGGCTGTTCCTACCTTGCCCAAAAACAATACAGCTCTTCTATAGAGCAGCACGGATCAAATGTAAAAAACTAGAAGTCTCTACAATGTCTCGTTATTGAGATTTCTTGCTGATTAACTTGCTTGCTTGCTTGCTTACAGAAAGCGTATTTTGCGATTTTATCAGCAATGCCACAACCAATTTGAAATCTGTTTTTTGAAAATGATGTAAAATTTCAGGCACAAACTTTTCTTCTTCACCTTTTATAACCAATTTGGCTTTGTTTTCTCACAAAATGCGAAAAATTGATTTTTCAATCTGAACAAAACCAATAGATTCACACGTGAAAACGGTGAGAATATAAAAAAAAAACAATTTTGTCAAAGAACTCTAATTCAACCAATTCCATCCACAAGATCTGCATTCTTATAAGATTAAAAAAATTCCATGCTTACTAACAATCTAATCATTAAGCAGTCTAATCCTTCCTTATTCATCATTTTTCAAATTTTTTTTTTTCTTTACGCAAATCGCATTACATATTCATTCGAATTTCGGAATAACTGTATTAACCATCAACTAAATTTGCATAAAACAGCATTGGCTTGATTTATCAAAATCCTTAATCAAGCAAGTGAAAGGTAAATAATGTGCATTTATTCATTCCTTATCCATTTAGCTTTTAATGACATTTAAATTCTTGTGGTGACATTTTAAACTCTTCAGGAAGAGACAATAAGAGATGAAATTTGTCATAAAATTGTATGTGTACATATAAATTTTTTTATGGTTCCTCGTAAATGTTCGAATGAATTTTTATAAAAGTAACGATATTTTTTCTTGTTTTTATAGATCTCAGTCCACTTGTTCTATCGTTTCGCTTTCATTTTTATCCTGCCGATCCAACGAGACTCTCGTTCAATGGAAAGTGTATGCTTTTCCAACAGCTTAAACGAGATTTAATTCACGGAAGATTGTATTGTTCGGCTGGTGAAGCGGCAGCACTTGGTGCACTTATTGTTCAAGGTAAGTTATGCTCTAAAATTATAATATAAAATGGATCGTTCGCTTATTACGTTAATGATTAATTTGTGGCGAGAAGGGGGGTGGGGGGTTGATTATGTGATAAAATAGATTTTTTGTTACCTGAGAAATATTAAAGGTAGTGTAATTGAACGATTTATATGAGTAAGTCTCGATTTATGTTTATTGATAAAAATAGTAATTTTTGCTGTTATATTATTAGGAATTATGCTGAATATAATTTTATATATTCCATTGCTTTTGTAAGTCATAAGATTAAAAACAAAAAAGAGGTGCCCATCCCTTGAATAATAAGTAGAAATTTATTAGGGTGGTAAAACAAAAAGTCTACATTTTGGTTCTCCGGCTGCTTGAAATTAAGTCAACGCTAAAGCACGCCAAGGGCCTTACACGTTTTAATCCTCTCTTCTCATAAAATATTAGTTTCGTTTTCCACAAATAGCCGTCTGTTGGCAATGACAAGAAAGTATTAAGTAAAAATTTTGAATCATTTTCAACATCATAAATGCCAGGTTGTACTGAACATTTTGGAAGTGGATGAATACCAATCGCTATTTGATATGCGACTGATGTTTTGACACTACTTTTTTCACAAATACGTGGAAAATTAATTGATCCATATTTAGTACAACCCGTATAATCGAGGTTACAACGAGTTAATGAAACGTCAAGTTCAATGTTCATCGGAAGTTTTTCTGTAATTAAAACTCTGCCAGTCGCCAAAAATGATTCATTTTTTGAAAATTTCATTTCTAAGTTTTCAATTCTAACAGGATATTTTTTATCACTCGGTGTGCAATCATTTGATCGTAAAATTTGAATGTCCTTTGGTGTCTGCATCATTGTAGAAAAGCACATATGAATAAAAAAAAAATAAAAAGTCAGCAAATTATAACAACAAAAAATGAAGTGTAAATAAAAATTGGCCCACCATAGCAGTTGCCTGTTGAAAAATACATAAATGTAGCAGCAAAAAGTTCAGTAACACGAACAGCAGTAAAAAATTCATTTTCCGATTTTCTTCTTCTTTTTCTACGCTGTTGGATACGTATGAATGAAAGTTTATTTTAAGTTGTTTAAATAGTTTGCAGGTTCATTTGCTTGAACTCTAAAAATGGGAACTGTAATAAAGTTTTGGGAACTGAATATTTTAGCAGATACAATACAGACCAGATTTTTCAGAACTTACGTCAGATCAATCAAATCCTTTTTTGATACAAAAGTCAATTTGAAGCTCGTCAAAAATTTCTAAACAAACTTGAAGCTGAAATAATTTCCAATGTTGAATTTGCTGAGAGTATTCCAAACGTATTGACGAATGATTGATGAATATCGTAGATTCGTAGATAGTCACTTTTTTAAAGAGGCATTTATTCATTAAGTTTAAAATTGACATATTTAATTTACCTATATCAATGACAATTAATCTGTCATATAGTTTTCAACCTCTCAACTCTCTCAATTTTCTCTCTTTTACCATTTTTTATATTTATTTAAAAGTGTTATTTAAATTTACAATTGTCATATATGAGACCAATTATCATATTTGTGACACAATAAATTATTCATTCTGTTATGCGTCATTTGTGTTAAATGAGATGTCTAGGGATGAAACACTTTTGGCTATTACTCAATTATTTAAAGACAAATTTTTTGAAAATTAAAAGTTTCATAACTCAAATTTTAAGCTACGCACTTAATTTCAAAATCAAATGAATTTGAAATGACATGATTTTCATAGACGATTAGCTATTAAAGCAAAAAAAAAAATTGTTGTTATGCAAAATTGGAAAAACATTTGAATGTTATTTACACAGAATACATAAAAAATTGTAGAATTTTATCATAAAATATTTTTTTTAAAAAAATGATGAAAAATCATAAATTTTTATGTCCACATAATTTTAATTATTTTTATAATGTCGAGGATATTTTTTATTTTCCATCATGTACAGTTTAGCTGAAAAATAACGATCAAAAGTTTCCGAATGAAAAATCAATTTTCTAAAAAATTGATTCCATTTAAAGTCTAGACATTTTCATCAAGAACGCGAGCAGCATAATTTTATGAAACTTGAAAAATCAATGTCAAGAGATATCAGCTGAATTTTTTTATTTCCAAAACAATTTAGATGAGAATTTTAAACAAAAGTTGGCACGTGGAATATAAAGCTGTTTATGCATAATCTTTTCAATTATCAAAATAATGTTTGAGGAAAATTTGTTAAGAATTTTCAGACATTATTAAAATTTTAAACAGACATTTAAGATATTTGTCTTAGAAGATATTCTATTTAAAAATTCATTATTCATGCTCAGTTGATCCTCGTTCAGTTTTAAAAATTCATAAAATGTTTTTAATAAATTAATTAGAATTTTTCAGTTCTTTCTGTATCTTTGGTTAATCGCCTTTTCACTTTAATATCACAATATTCATTAATATAATTAAATTACATTTATAATTAAATTTTTATTCATTATCGCCATTTTTATACCCATGAAAAATAATTTACATTAGTCACGCGATATCTTCAATTGAGATGAGATTTCTTCCTTTCATTGTTCATCAATTTGTGGCAATTCGTAGTGAAAACCAGAAGTAAAGGTGCTAATTTAGAATAATTACATTTTGATAGAAAATTCAGTTTATAATTTTATGTTTGCACTTAATTAGAATTTTAAAAGTTGAAGTTTCGATTACATTTTTATTTAAGTGTAGAAGATTGAGTGTTAAATCTTCATTGCGTCATATTAATTTTATTCAATTTGTAGAAAAACTTTTAAAACTCTTATAATTTCCTCAACATATTCCTTCCGATATCAGGAATTAAATTCTAAATTTAAAAATAAATAAATAAATTTCTAAAATGATTTCTTATCGTGGTTCATCACACTAGTTAAAAAGATGTCAATTTTCCCGGTTTCTTTGTGCTTGCCGTTTTATATTTCCTTCCTTAATTCTCCAAATTCAAAACTCAATCAAACATTTCGCGTGTGAAAATGAAATTAAAACTTTTCTTTCTTTCTATCACAAAAAAAAAGTTGGAACTGTCTCAAATTTGTTAGAATTTTGGACACACAAATTCATTGTTTCAATACATCGATCTACTGTTTTATTTTTTTTCAATTTCCCTCATTCCAATTGATTGAATTTAAATCAACTTTTTACACATGTGTACTTTATTTATAGATCTGCTTTTTTGTTTCTTTTGTTGCTCTGGTGTGATGAAGTCATGCATGATTGCAAACTACTTAAAGCACATTGGAGAATTTTATTTTAAAAGAAACATGAACGGTAAGGGCTGTTAACTTTTTGAAGTAATTGCAAATGACTTATTGTTATGCCATGCATGTAAAGGGGTTATGAGGCAGGAAGTTTCTTATTTAATACGAAGCGATAAGCTTTGTGCTTGAATTCTTATCACAAAAGTTTTTTTAACTACATTACGATTAATATGAGAAAATGTTTTCTGAGCAGTGCAAAAACTTTTAATAATTCATAATTATTGCATATGTGCAACTTAATTCGACAGTAAACTTAACTAGTTCAAAACAACTTTCATGTTAATTTTAAATCTTATAAAAAAAAGTTTTAATATTGTATTAAAGATCATTCATTTATAACATCAAATATTTTAAATTTGAATAATTTGTATCAAATTTTCAAACATGTTTTAAATTAAATGGCAGATAATTTAAGTGCCACTTAGACCATGACGAGTTACTTTGACAAGAACAAATTTGAATCATCTACAAAATTAATTACAAACAACGTTTTGTTCTAAAGAAATTATAAAGCTATTCTTTTTTTATGTCATGTGAAAAGCACCGAGACACAAGCTTTCAAAATGAAAGAAATAAAAAATATTCGTTTTTGTGGATAAAATGATTTTCCGTTTATGAGAATAGACAAACAGAGAAAAAAAAGCTTTTTTATTTTTGGCACCAGTTTCAATTTTTTTTTGAACAAATTCTGACGTACAAAGAAAAATGTATAAATTTTATATTTTTTATTTTGTCAGAATATAATGTAAGTAAGTGAATGAGTTGAGAGGATTAAATTGCATGTGCTCAAGAGGCATAAAAGCTTTCATTATTTGCTACTTAACACAAGATAAATAAAGTTGTGAAATTTATTCAGAAAGAGAAGCGTTTTTTAATCACGAGATATTTTTGTCCTATCATCAAAAGTTCAAACCCTGATGCAAGCACAAAATAGCAAGCGGATTGTGGATGAAGATACTCAATTTTCAATTAGTTCTCTTCATATTTTCTATAGAGTTAAGTTTTATATTTCAATTAAACTGCAGCTGTGGCTCTGCTCATTTAAAATTCGTTCGATATTTTCATACATTTAAAGATTTAAAAAAAAATCTAGCTAGTAGCATATTAGTAGAATAAATTTGCTAAATAAATCCACATTGTGCGCATTGGTTAAAAAATTTCCATTAATATTTTCTCGTTTCGTTTATATCGATTACTCAATTTCAAAAAGGAGGAGAGAATAACAAGTAGAATAAAACTTAGATAAATTGAATGAATGTTTATAAATAGACGCAAACATGAAACAATAGTTCAGATTTATGGTTCTTCTTTTGATCAAAATCAATGTTGAAGACACAAGTTCAAAAGCTTTTGAGATATCCAATGTGTCATCTATCTTTGAATTATTTGCATATTTTTTGTAGCATCTTTTAGGTTTCTTTCGTGTTACAGCCCTTCTCCCATTTTATATAATGATGTTTAAAACAGGAAATTTGTATGAAAAAACTAATTCGATGGGTAACGCGCCTTAATGTAATAATGACTCCATAGTCCTTAGGATATTATTATTTCTTATTATTCATATGAATTCAGTCAACTTGTTGAACAATGCAATTCAGAGCTCATAGAACTACAGGACTGACTAAGCTCTAGCTTAAAATATACACATGTTTTATAAAACAATCAAAACACAAATATATGAACAAAATCTAAATAGGAAGTGATCATACAAAAAATAAGGAATTACAAATGAAAATAAGACTATATCAAACTTTTCTTATTTCTTCATTTTGTGGCCATTTAGTTAACTAGAAAAAAGCTTAAATGGGAGATAAATAGAATCATGAATGACTACTTAAGAAGAAATTATTTTTTATTCTGTCTATTGTTCGTTTAGGGTTTAATAGACATTATGTCTCTTACAATTTCCACTCTTTTTTATTGTTTGAACATTCTCAATTTCATTGTGAAACATGAGTCAAATATTTTTGCTTGTAAAACAAATAGAAAACTTTTTCATCATGAAAGCTTGTCAATAAAATAAACAGCTTAATTTCACTTTCCCTGTTTTCTTGTTTTTCAGATGAATTAGGTGATTATGATAGGGAAATTCACCCAGATAATTATGTATCGAATCTTAAGCTTGCCCTTCGTCAAAATTATGAACTTGAAAAGAAAATAATAGACTTGCACAGAAAACGTGAACCTGGACAGGATATTGTAGTAGTTTATGATGAGTTCATTACAATCGCAAGAGGCTTAGAAACATATGGTATCGATCCACACCCAGTAAAAGATTATCGATCCACGCAACTTTATGTTGGAATAAATTTTTCGGGTATTAGCACATTTTCTGTTGGCAAGCGAATACAACATTTTCGATGGCCAGAAATATCAAAAATCAATTTTGAGGGAAGGATGTTTATTGTTCATCTAACATATACGGTTGATAGAGAGGTGAAGAAACATACTGTGGGATTTAAATGTCCATCTGGAATGACTTGTCGTTATGTCTGGCGATGTGCCATAGAACAAATGTTCTTCTTCACGTAAGTCTTTTACCTAATTCATTTGAATTCTTTCTTATTTCTTTTCTATGTTATACAGTGCCCCAAATGGTCAAAATCCGCAACTTTACACAGGCGGGTCATTCTTTAATCACTCTAAATTTCGTTATATGGGAAGGACGGAACGCGAAATTTTATCCGAAAGTCTTCACTCATTAAAACAATCATCAGCAACATCAAGTCCGACTAAAAGGAAAGCAAACAGTGTGCCAGCAACTCCTTCGAGTCCACAAGAAATGACTGACATACGTAAGTAGAATATTTTGTTTTAGGAACTACAAATTAAACATCGTTTTTAAATGTGTTGTTCTGCAGGTTATAGCAGTCTTCCAAGATCAAACCTTTCTGAGCCATTAGGTCAATTTGTTGATAATCCAATGTGGAATCATGAAAATGGTATTCCAGCATTAGAAACAGTTTCAGAAGAAAATCGAAGGAACAATCCTGATGAGACATTAGAGCCACTTTCAGATTTTTATCGAGAATCTTATGATCCTGAAATTACTAATATTGATGATCTTAACATGACACAAGCAACATTTATTGGCGATGGAATGATTCCAATTCAAACAACAGCAATAAACAACACGACAGACTCATCACTAAATGCATCATTAAAGTCAAAGTCATTGAAAAAGTTTTCATTAATCAATGCTTTTATTCCATCATTTATCTTTGTCATTTTGGCGATGAGCATTTCCGCAATTTTCATTTTGGAAACTGATTCAGAGTTTTTCGCACCCATAAGAAATTGGCCGGAGATGGACAGTTTGAGATTTCAGTATTATGAGCCATTAAAGGAATTTCTTGCGAGTAAAATTGGACATATTTTTTGATTTGTAAGGGAAGTTCGGGATGACATTCCGCTAGATTGAGATAAATATTTTCTGCAATATTTTTACGTACTTAATTCAAATAGAATTTTTTTTTATAAATTTTGGTGATGGATTTTTTGGTGTACCTATTTAATTTTAAATTAGAATTATTCTGAATGCAGCAAGCATAAGTTTTTATTTGTTTCTATAAACTTTTTTGGTGTTTTTTTATAAGAGATTTGAATAGCTTTAAAATTTTATTTTTAATACATACGAAGTACAATGCGATGTGACATAACTTTAACGGCTTTTAAAATTTGAAATGCAAAAAAAGAATTTGAAATTTTCTCAACTGTTATGATTTTTTATTAAATACACTTAGAACAGAGTTAAAAAATCAAGAAATAGAAATGTCATTAGGGACCATAATTTTTTTAATTCACCAACAAACTCATTGTAAGCTTATAAGCATCATCATGATTTAATATGAGTCCAAAAAATAAGATTATTTAGTGAAAATGGACGAAAAAATTATGCAATATCTCACAAATTTAATAATTTATTTTTAAACTGCAAAAATGCACAATTTTATGAAAGCTTTTAATAGAAAATCGTACTATCATAACTCATGAATATATATTTATATTTACACTTTTTTGAAATTATAGTGGGAAAATTAATTGAGTTTATACTCAATAATTCAGTTCCCCTCGAGCAAAAAAAAAAATTATTTATTAATTTAAAAATGAGAAAATAAGCCAATAAAGAGTAAATTTAGTTTACTAATTTTATTGTAATTAAAAATATAAAATAATTATATATTTATTTAATTTAAAGAGATTTAGAAATTGTGTTTTAACCTTACATAGACAAAGAAAGCTTCCTTGAATAGAAATTAGTATAGAATGAGGGATAATATACTCAGAGATGGAATTTTATGATCTGATTTACTTTTCAATAAAGTTTAAAGTTTAATAAAGGGACGTTTATTATTTACATGATGCATCATTCCCAACCATAATCTCTATTTTCAATATTTTTAAGGGATATAAGATCTTAATGATTACTTAATGATGATCTAATGATTATTATGTCAAAAAAGTTCTGGTTTTGGTTTTGGTTTTTAAAGTCAAGCACTCTTTATCCTTCAAATTTTTTAATCATCATAGGTGAATGAAACTTAATTAATGATCGTAAACTCAACTTTGTATCTTAAATCTTGTAATTGAAAAAATGCACATAAGCAAAAAATCGTCCACAAGTTCTTATTTCGTTTGCAGAGATCAGAGATTAATAAGAAAATATAAGCAAATTTTTTATACTTAAGCTTACAACGCATATTAAAATAGATGAAAAATGCGAAGGCTTTAATGCTTATAATAAAAATAATAATAATATGAAATAATCTTCCAGAAGGACACGTGGAGGCTTAATTACTTAAAATCATGAAATATAGAAGAAAATTTCACAAAAAAACATAATCATTGATTGAATAGCAATTAAATTTTGTAGAGCAAAAAAAAAAAACTGAAATTTCTGCTGAGATAAATCTGAATTTTTAATTGCAAAGAGATAAAGTGCTGGGACTCTAGCACTGCTATCATAACTAATTGCAATGATGGGATGTCTACCAATGGATTTATTTCTTCGCATAATAAATACAAAAATAAAAACTTTTTGTAAAAAAAAATCAAAACAAAAATTAATTGAATTTTACGTCAAACATCAAAACATTTAAGTCAGCAGAAAAATTTGCAATAAATCTCTAGAAATATTACGAAAATTTGCAAATATTGTTAATTTTTCGCCAAAGATATTTTTATAACAAAAGATAAATGATGAGCAAAATCCACAAATTAAAATTAGTAAAAGTAATAAAAAATTCTAGACTTTAAGTTTTTAGGACATTTAAAATTATAAGAAAGAAATGTTTCGAACTTCTTGAATAAAAAATAAAAAAAAAACAAGAAATCATGGGAAATGATTTGGTTTAATTTTTTCCAGCATAAAATCGACATTAGCAGCAGCATCAATGAACAGTAATTAAATTTCATTAAATTTACATAGAAAAGACGATAAATTTAATGTGCCTTTCTTCTATTTTCTCGTCTGGTTTTCTGTTCAGTTCTCGATGCTGGATGTTATCATCAAAGCTCCCAGCTAAGAAGACGCAGATGATATTAGATGATTTGGAGACAGTGATGCGAGTCAGTCATTGTATTATGTGATTCATAAAATTGAAGTTTATGGCTTTTAAAAGCAGTATTGATCAACTATGAATATTATAACATGTGATCAGATGTTTAAAGATGATTCAATAATCGATAAAGTTCGCAATTGGTACAATAAAACATATAAAAGCAAATCTTTGCAGAATCTAGCACCTCTTGTGCTTTATTATGACGTGGTTTTGTGGCCAACTGAAGGATCAGTTAATATGTCTAAAAAGCTTGCAATAATTAGCTGGGTAAAAAAATTACAGGAATAATCACGAGACAACACATAAGCATAATTATGTATGCAGTTAAATCACTTTGTGAAAGATGCACACATTGAAGTCAATAAAATATGCCTAGTTTGATTTTAATTCTATAATTTGTGCTATGTACAATAAGAAGTGCGCTAAAAAGAATAGAAATGCATTACATAGAACAAAAATTATGAACAAACATATCAATGAGACATGAATGCATCATCAAGTTAATAGAGAGTAAATACATGAGTAAGAAGCACGGAAGATAAAGAATATGATTTAATTGCCACGGGAATGAGAGTGAAGGGAAATTAATCAAAATGCAAATATATCGCCATATCCTGCCCATGTGTAATTTCAAGTTTACATCTTTCTCTTCTTATTCATTCCACCTATCTGACCGACACACCGTTTTAGATCATTTTGATCATGATGACAATGAAAATGAATAATGTCACGTAATCTACATAATAATCGTCATCTCCTTCAAGTTTATGTTCAGAATTGAGTTGCACTCTTTCACTATCAAAACTATTGACTATGATTATGAATATCAGACACATCAATTCATTTTGCTTGACTATGATTTATATTATATTCATGTGCATATCCATCATGTCTGATTTTTTCTTTCATTTAATCGATAGAAGAAAAACTTCTTATTTTTTCAAAGTAAGAGCCTTTTTCTTATAAACATAACCACCATAAAAATTAATGAAAATTTACATTAATGTCGATGAAGTAAGTATAGGAGTCAAGTCTATTAATGCGTGGTCTTAAATAAAATTACGTTTTACATTCTTTAGATTGATGAATTATGTTTAATCATGTCAATGTCTCATAAATATGAACTTGAAAAATAATACATCCCGTGCACATTCGTTTAATCACAGTACAGTTAATGATGTTAACCTACGGTGGATGTCGTCAAAGTTTAAGAATTTATTTTGTCTACAAAAATTACTTTGATTTAACTGACACTGAAGAAAATTAAATTTTACAGCAAAATTGAAAAGATTGTGAAAATAATGCAAATTCAAGGTGATATTAACAGCTAGTAATCAATTTAAGATTTATGAGTCTAATTAAAATGCACGGCATATATTAAATTGATAGCATTAATTTTAATATGAATTAATTTAAGACAATGTTGCATAAGCATTGGAGAGAATTCCGAATGCATTAAGTTCATTTTTAAAAAATGGGTTTCAAATCGCTCCAACCCTAAAACTTGAACATCACTTGACCACGAGTTTTTCAATTTTTAAAAGCCTGACTTAAGTTCTTTGAACTTAAAAAGGGAAGAATTGAAATTTTTCAAAAGACTGTGCACTCTTCATTACATAATGTCTTTTATTCAATTTTCAAACATTATGATGTATGAATTTGCAATGAAATGTCATCAATACATCCTATATATCATAAAAATTAAATCATTTCCAAATATGAAATTTTAAAAAAGAGAAAGAAAAATCAAATAAAACAAAAAAATCTTTTTCAATTCCATTCGTGATGAAAATAATGAGCTGTTTTAAGTACTTTTGCGACACATTTTGGAACGATGGTAGTTCTGGCATTAACAATCAGAAATTAATTTTTTTTTTCGTTACATTCTCTGTGTTTTTTTTTTGTGCTGACTATATCGTTTTTGGCTGGATGTTTGTATGGACCTTAATTTATGGAATGAAGAAATAAATTTCATGTGTGTACGACCATAATTTAATGTAAATGATTTTCCTGTAATGTGAGGAGATGCGATAGAGACCCCAAAGAACCGCATTGGTGATGTGATATACTTAAAATTTGATAAAAACTTCCTCCTGTATTATCTGATATCTTTTTTCGTATTCTTCAACTTCATCCACTTTGTATCAATTTTGAGGAATTACAATTACTATTTTGGGTAATTAACGAACCATGTTAATTGATGTTTGAACAGAATTTTCATGGGAATAAATTATTACAGCGATTGAATGCTATTTTTGCCGTAAAGAATATTTTTAAAAACATTGATACAATACCAATTATAAGCTACAATGTTGCATGTAATGATCTACAGAGAGGAAGAAAAAGTGATCTTTCGAATTAACTTGCAAGACAAAAAAAATTACATCTAACAATTATGGAAGGTTAAAATAAAATTTCATCAGGTACCACAGCAGCAGAAACAAAAAATGTTAAAATGTCCACATCTTCTTTCTCTTTTAGTATTTTCGTTGTTTCTCTTCACGTATCCATCCAACTCCTTTTAGAAATTTGCCGGTTTTCAGCAGCTGGATTCCTGAATAATTTGGTTAATTTTGAAATGACTTTTCTGTCACTAAAAATTGTCGTTTTTGTATCTTTTGCTTCGTCTTTCTTCTGTTTCTTTGAAATGCACATCACATCAAATAACTGCGTGGAATTGCACTCATCACATATTGCTTTTTAAAAGCCACAAAAGTTCATTGTTCTATTCAAGTAGAAAGAAATGAAATGAGGAAAACTTTGCAGAGAGACAATAAATAAAATGAAAAATACCAAAACCCCAAAAAGCAATTCGACAAGTAAAAAAAATTAAAAAGAGAAAAACAAGTAAAAAACAATTTTAAAGCAACTTCCAATGCTGAGTTTTTTTTTCTATAAGGGAAAACTTTTTTAATCGAGTGAATAAGATTGGCTTTAAAACTTGAGATACATTGCATTATCCCTAGATAAATAAGAGGAGGCATAATAAGCACTAATTTTTTCAAATCTAGAATGTCACAAAATATTCATTAAAACTAAACTTATTTTAAAAATTTTAAATCAGATTCTTTTTAGTTTACTCGAGTTTTTATTAAGTTCTAATTCAAAAATTTTTGAAGGACATTATTACGCATCGCAGGGGTGTAGCCAGAAATTTCAAGAGGGGGAGAATAAAAATTTTTGAATGGAAAAATTATAGGGAAGAGGGTGATTTTCGCGAATTTTTCATAAAAACCCTAGCAA